TTCAAATGACCGTGTTAGAGTGATCTACATACATTAAGAACTGGATGTAGAATATTCTTATATTTTATACATATTGAACAATATATTTAATATAAACTCAACATATTTTATATACACATTATATGTTTGGGTACTCATTAAATGCATTGGACAATATTCAATTCTTACAGTATATGGTCACTACTACACACTATAAAATTATATTTATATATTTTTTCATTCACTCTTTGGACAGCCCTCTATTACAGAACTTATGGTATTTCCTACACAAAGCCCAAAGGTTAGAATGACTGTGGTTTTAGCCTTTTATAAGTATTTGCCACCGTGCTTATAAATGTTCTCATCTTTTTCCATCCACTAACTGAAGTCTGTTCAGTGGAACCATACCATAATCTTTTATCAAAGGTGATGCCTTCAGTGACCAGGGTTAATGGACAACTGCAGAGATGACTTTAACAGTGTAACAGTCAAAAGAATCACCACAATCACAGGAAGACGACAAAACACAGGCTTACCTGGAGCTGGTAGGAACAGACAGGCGACAGGGGAGAAGTTAACAAGACCCAGGTGTGGAAGGTTGACTAATCACTGAGGAGGGACAGGTGGATGAAGTCACAGCCCAATGCTACGTCCTAACACAAGGCAAAAACAACACAGTTTAAGACTTTTACACAGTACAACAGGTCATTGAACATGGCCCAGGTCTGGTTTTTCCACTTGGTAAAAACATTAGATTCATTAGGGTATAATGATTTAAGGAAATGTGAGAGTGATTTTCTATATTAATAATTCAGACATTTGAATGACAACATTATCCTCTGACTTTTGACGAAACATGTTAAAATTACCAGCACAGACTAAAACCAGTGGTTATAAATAGAGACAAAAAAAAATACAAAACTCCACAAAGACAGAAATCAGAAGTGTCTAGAGAACCGATACAGTCAGTCGGACGTTAAAATGAGTTCCGACCACATGTGGGTTCTCCTCTGTGTTGTGCTGCGTTAGGATGGGATGCAGTTGCTTTCATGGATTTGTTGACAGCAGGAAATTTTAAACTAAACTTGAGACACAACCTAAATTTAATTTAGATTTATGTGGATATATATACAATGCTGGGAAACGCTGGATGTAAACACGCTGTGTTTGTTTACAGCTAAATCTCATATGAACTCTTTGAGCTCTCCAGAACTTCGTTTAGTGATGAGTTTAGGCTAAAAATCACCCTGCACACTGCTCCTTCCTGTCTCCTCCATTCAGTACATTGACCTTCTCCAAGGTGGTTTTCCAATCGGGATTGAAACCATGACTATTGACTTCCCCCCGTAGCCCTCCACTACCTCCACATGTCCAGGGATAAGGGTGTGTTTATGTACAGGCTAAACAGGAAAAGACAGGAGACCATCACTGGACTTTGAATCTAGACCGTCGAGCTCAGTTCTGTTAAATACATGACTGTCTTTATGTCACCACGTTCACTCCGACTGAACTCTCTGTGAGTGCTGCATCGATGTGAAATAATCTGGATCCACATTCAGATAAGATAATCTAGGTTTTGGTGTTGATGTGTGCGTGGAACTGCAGTACTGCAGTAGTACGTGTGACAACCTGGACGGAAGGGGGGCGCTACAGAGTCCGTGCAGGGCCTCGCGAGCTGGTCAGACAGAAAAATAAATAGTGTCAGAAAAAGAGAGGCGAGGAAAGTGATTTTGTTTGAAGTTGCAGAGCTGCAGCGTGGAGCTGAAAGGCAGATGAATCATCCTGTTTCAGAAACCTGAACGCCGCCTTGTTAAGGATCAGTAATATGTGTTTTTGTGAGGCAGCAATAACACCGATTCAATACGTGATCCTCTGTGTGCACACACGAGCCGCTGTAACCCAACACAGCGCTCCGATGATGTCAGATTAGCATTAAGCGTGAGGCAGGGCCTGTGTGGGAACATGTGTGTGTCTGTGGTGAATAAGATGTCTGGTATTGTTTTTCGGGCAGTAACAGAAATGTAAACAGCGGAAGGTAGTGGCTGAGGGAGAATGGTAGAGCAAAGACTTCGCCTCGCGTGTGTTTGTGTGAATGCATAAGTGTGTGTGGTGGAGCAATGATGACATCAGCGGCTGGGCAGGTAGCAGGGGAAGGGGTTCTGGTCAGTGTGAAGGTCCGGGCTGTCACACAGACGTTGTCAGGTTGCACAGCGCGCTCAGAGCAGAACACTCAGCCGCTGGCAGCAGCCTAAAGACCGGCCGGTGGTGGTCTGCCAGAGCTGTCAGCTCCGTGGAGGCTTAAATGCTTTAGCACGGCAGTCTGGACGGAGACATGTAACAGTCTCAGCAAATGTTGGCGTTACATTCCAACATTAAAGGGTTTCCATCTCCACGCCACGGCCTCACTGGAAATAAATGGTGTGTACCTTTCTATGGTCAATTTAACATTTTGAGCTTGATTAAAATGTAGTGAGATTTTTTTTCCTTTGAAATAGAATTTGAATAGGTTGACTGCACTTCGAACATGTCCGCAAAAAATATTCAGATTACATTTAAACAATAAAGAAAGATGAGATTCTCAGTTTCTTTTACTTCTTTTAACAACAAACTTTTTTTTACCCATGAGGCCGATGAGACAATGACCTGCAGTAGGAAAGCACATCATTATGTTTTTTGACCACTAGGCGGCTGGTAGTGGAGTGAAGCCATTACAAGATACAGAGTTGATGGATTGGCACGTTGTTGAGTACGAGTGTTTGAATGAAAATATCTGACATTTCCACCTAATAACGGGATTGCTGTACGACACAGAGACAACTAGGGACAGAAAAACGTTCAGTTAAGGACATAGAACTAATCCGATTTACAAGGATACGTTGTTTTGATGGTCTACTGTTATGTGTGACATTTGTAATGTGTTGGATGGTTGGATTAGCGTCGACCCAGCCTTGTTTTTACAGATCACTGGTGGCCCAGCAGTTCAGGTTGAACCCCAGAGGTTTGGCTGTGCACCTGAGCCGGTGAACCAGACCGACAGAGGGCGAGTATAAAGAGTCTACTCTGCAGGAATCAATGAAGTCTCACCTTTATGGCTCAGTTGCATAGTTGGGACCACCAGTGAGAAGCAGGGTCCAAATGCAGGGCAGTGATGATGAAACCTCTCTCAGTCCAAAGCTCATCGATTCCCTTTCTCTATCAGAGCCGGGGGTCCTTGGATGTTTTTGTGTTCTGTCTTTGATCCCCGTCTCTCTTCTTCTTCGGTTCCCCCTCCTGGCGCAGACAAAGACTGCCTTCCCCACAAACGCAGCCACCGCCTTGAAGGGCCAAGCGTCAGGCTGTTGAGGGAAGAAGGCAGCAGGAGAGGAACTTGGAAGCTGTAAAGATGGATAGGAGAGAATATGAAAGGAGAGAAGTGATCAGAGAAGAGAATGATGCAGTTTCACCCACCCTGGAGGTACCCTGCAGCCCCCAGCTTTCAGTACGCCTCCCCCAGAAGACCGCATTCAGAGACTCACCTAATGAACACTCCTGCCCTCATTCAACCCCACAATGGAGCCCTTCACCGCCATTGAGGCCGCTCAAAATGGAGAATATCGCTCCAATTAAACCACGGGGACAATATACTGGGGTAGGTAAAGGGGAGGAGGTGTGTGTGAAATGCATGTGTGGATAAGGGGATGCAAGTTTAAGGAGGGTAATGAAAAGACCCAATGTAGCAGATCCCTTCGGAGGTTCACTGAAATGCCATCGCTCAATTAGGTGCCCATTCCCAACACAATGAGAACTCTTATCCTTCCCCAGGAAAATCTGGTGTGTGTTTGTGACTGGGTCGGTGTGTGTGTTTGTGTGTTTGCTTGAAGGACAAATAAGAAACAATGTAGGTAATTCTGGAGTTCAGTCCAGTAAGCACAAGAACAAACTCCAATGTGGGTGTAGTAAAAAGAACCAGGAACTGAATTTTAATTCAATTATAATTATTTAAGACAGGTTGACTATAAACCCTCACCAAAACAGCCTGAAACATGGAAAGAAAATGCACAAGTTCCCAAAAAATGTTTTTCTTTTTTTTTTTACAAATGTTTGGCGACACAAGAGACATTTATTTATTCTAGAATTAATTTTTGGTCATGAAACTGAAAGAATACCATTATTTAGGATTGTGTCTGGTGTTTTTACATCATAATATTCAATCAATCAAAAGAACAATAGTTTAAAAACATATTTTATCAGTAGATTATCAGTATCACAGATGAACAATTATTTTAAAATTCACATACTTTATAACTAAAAAATACCAAGAATGTGTGAGAGGCATGTCCAATGTTGATTTGTGCAGAGGTCTACACACGTCTGTAATGTGGAGCATCCCATTATTGACTGTGATGTTTAAAATACATCTGTAGAGACGTGACATTTGACAGAAGGCAGGAAGAGAAGCCAACAAAGGCCAGAACAAAGACACGGTGTGGGCCATAATAATGCAGCCCACCGGAGATCCTGCTCATCAATATGGCAGCTGTGGCGCTGACAGGGTTGAAGGTATGTTGTGCATGCACATGTAGCACCTGCAGCATCTACAGCATCTACAGCACCTACAGCACCTACAGCACCTACAGCACCTACAGCACCTACAGCACCTACAGCACCTACAGCACCTACAGCACCTACAGCACCTACAGCACCTACAGCACCTACAGCACCTACAGCAACACAGCGCTCCGATGATGTCAGATTAGCATTAAGCGTGAGGCAGGGCCTGTGTGGGAACATGTGTGTGTCTGTGGTGAATAAGATGTCTGGTATTGTTTTTCGGGCAGTAACAGAAATGTAAACAGCGGAAGGTAGTGGCTGAGGGAGAATGGTAGAGCAAAGACTTCGCCTCGCGTGTGTTTGTGTGAATGCATAAGTGTGTGTGGTGGAGCAATGATGACATCAGCGGCTGGGCAGGTAGCAGGGGAAGGGGTTCTGGTCAGTGTGAAGGTCCGGGCTGTCACACAGACGTTGTCAGGTTGCACAGCGCGCTCAGAGCAGAACACTCAGCCGCTGGCAGCAGCCTAAAGACCGGCCGGCGGGGGGCTGGCACATTAGGGTATAATGATTTAAGGAAATGTGAGAGTGATTTTCTATATTAATAATTCAGACATTTGAATGACAACATTATCCTCTGACTTTTGACGAAACATGTTAAAATTACCAGCACAGACTAAAACCAGTGGTTATAAATAGAGACAAAAAAAAATACAAAACTCCACAAAGACAGAAATCAGAAGTGTCTAGAGAACCGATACAGTCAGTCGGACGTTAAAATGAGTTCCGACCACATGTGGGTTCTCCTCTGTGTTGTGCTGCGTTAGGATGGGATGCAGTTGCTTTCATGGATTTGTTGACAGCAGGAAATTTTAAACTAAACTTGAGACACAACCTAAATTTAATTTAGATTTATGTGGATATATATACAATGCTGGGAAACGCTGGATGTAAACACGCTGTGTTTGTTTACAGCTAAATCTCATATGAACTCTTTGAGCTCTCCAGAACTTCGTTTAGTGATGAGTTTAGGCTAAAAATCACCCTGCACACTGCTCCTTCCTGTCTCCTCCATTCAGTACATTGACCTTCTCCAAGGTGGTTTTCCAATCGGGATTGAAACCATGACTATTGACTTCCCCCCGTAGCCCTCCACTACCTCCACATGTCCAGGGATAAGGGTGTGTTTATGTACAGGCTAAACAGGAAAAGACAGGAGACCATCACTGGACTTTGAATCTAGACCGTCGAGCTCAGTTCTGTTAAATACATGACTGTCTTTATGTCACCACGTTCACTCCGACTGAACTCTCTGTGAGTGCTGCATCGATGTGAAATAATCTGGATCCACATTCAGATAAGATAATCTAGGTTTTGGTGTTGATGTGTGCGTGGAACTGCAGTACTGCAGTAGTACGTGTGACAACCTGGACGGAAGGGGGGCGCTACAGAGTCCGTGCAGGGCCTCGCGAGCTGGTCAGACAGAAAAATAAATAGTGTCAGAAAAAGAGAGGCGAGGAAAGTGATTTTGTTTGAAGTTGCAGAGCTGCAGCGTGGAGCTGAAAGGCAGATGAATCATCCTGTTTCAGAAACCTGAACGCCGCCTTGTTAAGGATCAGTAATATGTGTTTTTGTGAGGCAGCAATAACACCGATTCAATACGTGATCCTCTGTGTGCACACACGAGCCGCTGTAACCCAACACAGCGCTCCGATGATGTCAGATTAGCATTAAGCGTGAGGCAGGGCCTGTGTGGGAACATGTGTGTGTCTGTGGTGAATAAGATGTCTGGTATTGTTTTTCGGGCAGTAACAGAAATGTAAACAGCGGAAGGTAGTGGCTGAGGGAGAATGGTAGAGCAAAGACTTCGCCTCGCGTGTGTTTGTGTGAATGCATAAGTGTGTGTGGTGGAGCAATGATGACATCAGCGGCTGGGCAGGTAGCAGGGGAAGGGGTTCTGGTCAGTGTGAAGGTCCGGGCTGTCACACAGACGTTGTCAGGTTGCACAGCGCGCTCAGAGCAGAACACTCAGCCGCTGGCAGCAGCCTAAAGACCGGCCGGTGGTGGTCTGCCAGAGCTGTCAGCTCCGTGGAGGCTTAAATGCTTTAGCACGGCAGTCTGGACGGAGACATGTAACAGTCTCAGCAAATGTTGGCGTTACATTCCAACATTAAAGGGTTTCCATCTCCACGCCACGGCCTCACTGGAAATAAATGGTGTGTACCTTTCTATGGTCAATTTAACATTTTGAGCTTGATTAAAATGTAGTGAGATTTTTTTTCCTTTGAAATAGAATTTGAATAGGTTGACTGCACTTCGAACATGTCCGCAAAAAATATTCAGATTACATTTAAACAATAAAGAAAGATGAGATTCTCAGTTTCTTTTACTTCTTTTAACAACAAACTTTTTTTTACCCATGAGGCCGATGAGACAATGACCTGCAGTAGGAAAGCACATCATTATGTTTTTTGACCACTAGGCGGCTGGTAGTGGAGTGAAGCCATTACAAGATACAGAGTTGATGGATTGGCACGTTGTTGAGTACGAGTGTTTGAATGAAAATATCTGACATTTCCACCTAATAACGGGATTGCTGTACGACACAGAGACAACTAGGGACAGAAAAACGTTCAGTTAAGGACATAGAACTAATCCGATTTACAAGGATACGTTGTTTTGATGGTCTACTGTTATGTGTGACATTTGTAATGTGTTGGATGGTTGGATTAGCGTCGACCCAGCCTTGTTTTTACAGATCACTGGTGGCCCAGCAGTTCAGGTTGAACCCCAGAGGTTTGGCTGTGCACCTGAGCCGGTGAACCAGACCGACAGAGGGCGAGTATAAAGAGTCTACTCTGCAGGAATCAATGAAGTCTCACCTTTATGGCTCAGTTGCATAGTTGGGACCACCAGTGAGAAGCAGGGTCCAAATGCAGGGCAGTGATGATGAAACCTCTCTCAGTCCAAAGCTCATCGATTCTCTTTCTCTATCAGAGCAGAGGGTCCTTGGATGTTTTTGTGTTCTGTCTTTGATCCCCGTCTCTCTTCTTCTTCGGTTCCCCCTCCTGGCGCAGACAAAGACTGCCTTCCCCACAAACGCAGCCACCGCCTTGAAGGGCCAAGCGTCAGGCTGTTGAGGGAAGAAGGCAGCAGGAGAGGAACTTGGAAGCTGTAAAGATGGATAGGAGAGAATATGAAAGGAGAGAAGTGATCAGAGAAGAGAATGATGCAGTTTCACCCACCCTGGAGGTACCCTGCAGCCCCCAGCTTTCAGTACGCCTCCCCCAGAAGACCGCATTCAGAGACTCACCTAATGAACACTCCTGCCCTCATTCAACCCCACAATGGAGCCCTTCACCGCCATTGAGGCCGCTCAAAATGGAGAATATCGCTCCAATTAAACCACGGGGACAATATACTGGGGTAGGTAAAGGGGAGGAGGTGTGTGTGAAATGCATGTGTGGATAAGGGGATGCAAGTTTAAGGAGGGTAATGAAAAGACCCAATGTAGCAGATCCCTTCGGAGGTTCACTGAAATGCCATCGCTCAATTAGGTGCCCATTCCCAACACAATGAGAACTCTTATCCTTCCCCAGGAAAATCTGGTGTGTGTTTGTGACTGGGTCGGTGTGTGTGTTTGTGTGTTTGCTTGAAGGACAAATAAGAAACAATGTAGGTAATTCTGGAGTTCAGTCCAGTAAGCACAAGAACAAACTCCAATGTGGGTGTAGTAAAAAGAACCAGGAACTGAATTTTAATTCAATTATAATTATTTAAGACAGGTTGACTATAAACCCTCACCAAAACAGCCTGAAACATGGAAAGAAAATGCACAAGTTCCCAAAAAATGTTTTTCTTTTTTTTTTTTACAAATGTTTGGCGACACAAGAGACATTTATTTATTCTAGAATTAATTTTTGGTCATGAAACTGAAAGAATACCATTATTTAGGATTGTGTCTGGTGTTTTTACATCATAATATTCAATCAATCAAAAGAACAATAGTTTAAAAACATATTTTATCAGTAGATTATCAGTATCACAGATGAACAATTATTTTAAAATTCACATACTTTATAACTAAAAAATACCAAGAATGTGTGAGAGGCATGTCCAATGTTGATTTGTGCAGAGGTCTACACACGTCTGTAATGTGGAGCATCCCATTATTGACTGTGATGTTTAAAATACATCTGTAGAGACGTGACATTTGACAGAAGGCAGGAAGAGAAGCCAACAAAGGCCAGAACAAAGACACGGTGTGGGCCATAATAATGCAGCCCACCGGAGATCCTGCTCATCAATATGGCAGCTGTGGCGCTGACAGGGTTGAAGGTATGTTGTGCATGCACATGTAGCACCTGCAGCATCTGCAGCACCTACAGCACCTACAGCATCTACAGCACCTACAGCACCTACAGCACATGCAGCACATCCTCGTATTTACTCGTGTGTCCACTTAGTTTAAGGTGTAAACAAGAGCTGTTGTCAGACATTCCACACGTCAGGCTGCCGTCTTAAGGTATGTATGTGTCTCTGCCGGCCCGTGCTGTCTCTCTGTGGAAATGAAAAGTCAATCAACCAGTCTGTCACGGGAGCAGAATGCACACTCTGCCCGAGGATCAATGCCCATCACTCCTGGGACCTGGGCTCAGTCAGTGAGGGCAGCCTAACCCCGCAAAGCTGCAAAGATCCTTTACACGGCTCTGACAGCTGACTTCACGAGTCACCTCTGTGTGTGTGTGTGTGTGTGTGTGTGTGTGTGCTGGACTCTCTGCTGTGTGTAATTTGCCATTTTATTAAGCAGTTGTGCTATAATACATTGATAATCGTGTCTATATTTGACAGTTTGAAACATATAACAGATTTTCTTTGGAATGTTGGAGGTCAAGAATGGATCTCTGATTGGCAGAATCATTAACACTGTCTTTTACAAATTGGCATCTCAAGTTTATTGCTAGAACTCACACGGTACTTCACAAAAGAAAAGTGATACGTCATGCTGTTGTAGTATTTCTGACAGATCTAAAGATTGTGTTAATGGTCAGCAAGAACGGCCATCTTTAATTGCAATTAATGGATTTAGATTTTCCTGAGCCTGGAAAGTTCAAGTGAATTACTAATGTAATCATGAGTACGATGTCATTCAACATTGTGAGCATGAATTAGTTAAACCTGGCTGCAATTTAAATAATAATAAACCATGAGCATGATGTAGAATATTGTTTGCCAAAGACTGGGTCGTGGACCTCAGGTGGGTCGCAAGAGATTTTTGTTTTGGGTCGTCTCGCATCATGTTTCCCAGGAGTTTACAAATAATGTCTATTGACTTGGGCCGCAAAGGTTTTTTTTAAATAACAAACTCATGACTATTGAAATTGAGTGGTCGATTTAAGAAAAACAAATGCACATTTTATACAAATATTGCTCACATTTTACCCTAACCGTAACATGAGTCTACGATTTAGGATCACCGGTGCATCATCTAATAAAATGAGCACACGCTCTACTTTAACTACTGCGCAATTGAATAAAATGAGAGTGCGATTGTGCAAATTGATGCCCTCAAATATATCGCTAAATATATTACTTTGACGAACTGATGAAGAATGTCAGATTTGGTTGCGTGGCAATTCTTTTTCTGTTATTCTGCGTATTTTAAACTTTTGCCAAAGTAAGGATGCTTGTATTTGTATCTTTATCAAAGTGACCAGGACAGTCTCAGTGCTCATCACAAATGCCACAATGTAATGCTCAACCTTTTGGCCTCTGTCCAAAGTCTCTGGACAATTTACTATTCCAGTATTTTCTTCAAATGAAAAAAAAGAAGAAAAAGCACCACATAAATATCTGCTAATATTCCACGGTCCCTCAGTCAAGTGGAACTGGGAGTCGTACTAAATCAGAGGCAGAAAGAGACGTTGCACCACTGAGTGTGCGCTGGCTTTGTGTGTGAACTCCCTTTGGTGTGTGAAAGTCTGTGTTTTTTTGCCTGAGTGTGTATGACTCCATCAGGTGTGGGAGGGAATTCCCTCTCTCTCTCTCTCTTTTTCATTCTTCTTCATTCTCAGCATCTTTCTGGCTGGTGTTGGCACAGGCCTCCTCCTCGCCTCTACTCCAGTTCCTGTGGCCTCCCAGGGCTTCCTTTAGCCGTTAAGACATAGCACTGCCGAGGGACTGGGAATACGGTGGTGGGGGTGAAGATTTGGAGGTGAGGCGGATATCATGTTCTCGTTCTCTCTCCTACTACAGATTTATGGGGGCTCAGTCCTTCTCTAAATATTTGCCTTTCCCTCTGTATGCTGGGAGATTGATGGCCTTTGATGTGGGGGGTTAGAGTGTAGGGCTGGGTGGTTGGAGGTACACAGGCGCAGGGTGCAAGGATGGAAGACGGGACGTGTATATGGATCGGTAAAGACCCAGTGTAGTATCAACATGCAGAGAGGTCAGTGGTGCTACAGTAAGTGGACGCTGTTCTGAAGGATGAGGTCAGTGGCTCCACCAAGTAGCTACTGAGCAATATAACACACACGCACACACACACATATATGTATGTATGTATGTATATATATATATATATATAGTATATATATAATGTAAATACAACACATTTAATATATGTCACTTTTATATATGTCACTCTGCTTCAATCTACAGTTACTCTGTGATTAACCAGAATTAACATTTTAATCCTTAGACACCCCCACTTGTATCACAGACCAAAATTGTTCAATGTTACATAATTACTGTCAATAAGAAAATATACAGTTAAATCAGGTCCCATCTAAGGAACTTTCCATAGTCACCAAGGTTCAAGACTACCAACAACTATGTATGATTATATAAATATAAACATTTCCTGCAGAAGAGACCAGTATACAGTCTATGATAGGAAACATTATACAGTTCTCATAGAATGACCTGAACCCATAGCGTGGAGTGGCTCAATGACCTTCAGTAGTTTATGTTGCAACGTACCTGTGATGATATTTTGAGCATGTTTGGGGGAAAAAATCTGTGTTCTTAGATTTGTTTTAAAACAGCCTGGGTAGAAAGAGAAGAATAAATGATTGACTGAACATGTTCCAGTAAACTCTTTTTTACCGTCTCTGTGACCTACAGTAACTGCTGGAGTCATCATTAATCTAAATGTTCAGTTTGGCCACATCAGAGAAACGCTGCTCCAAATAATCCCATTAAAGGTCAATCACAAGTTAGACAAACATCTGTTATAAAAACTCCATCTTTCACTGAGTCCCATTTGTACATAATTGGTTTCAGGTTGCCAGATCTTCTCCCAGATCCCAAAGATTTTGCATCATCTGGAGTCAAACGTGCACATGTCTGTTCAGCCTTCAAATAGGAGAATCGTGGTTTTCTCTTTAAAGAGGAAATTGAATTCCCTGACGGAAAATTACACATTATTGAAGACAATGATGTGTATAATAAATTTGGGTAGCAACCATATGCTGTCTGTCATTTTGTCTGTACATCTGAACAACAATCAACCTGGCGCTTCACTGTAAATGCAAATAATTGCTTGGAAAACTAGAGGTGAAAGAACATGAAGTAATTTCAAAGACACCGTTCCACAGAAATTGGCTCATATTTCTGTGTACACACACACGTGTGCATCACACAGACACACACACACACACCCTCTTGTGCTCTTCACAGTTAACAGCTCAGTGTCAGGGGGTAAGTACTGGGGCCCTACCTCTGCACCCCATTGAGTGGGGGAGCTTCCACCCTACAAACACAGATGTGCATTCATGCTGAGTTTTCTGCTTAATCACACAGATACAAATGCAGACATGCAATATCAATCACAAACCCCAGGATGCACATCTATCTGCAGAACTCAGAGATGCTTCAAAACACCAACGCTGAGGTCATCTCTGGTTCCTATTTAGCCTGATGCTCCCGAGGCAGACATTGCTCTCGTAGCGCTGCGCTAGTGACACAAAGGAGTAGGAACCACAGGGTCATTGGGATGACGGATGGTCAAATTCACAGGAAACTCCAGAAACATTCTTCCCCAAATTATGCTATTAGCTTCTTTAGGTAGCAGAGTCAGACTCAAAGGGAGAGCGAGAGACACAGGGCAAGAGAGAGAGAGGGAGAGAGAAAGGGAAGAAAAACAAGCTGGGACATTCTGTGTGGGTAGACAGGCCTTAAAACAACAGAAAGAGAAAGGAACTTGTAGCCGCTTGGCCTCCTGTTCTTTAGCGGAATGCAGTGCAGTGGCATTTACATGTTGGCTGTGATTTATTGAAGCTGGCGTCCCCCCTCTGTTTCTGTCAATACAACATTCTCAGTGCCAGGAACAGGCCATAAGCCCAAGGAGACAGTGGGCCTGGGCCATTCTCCCTCTCCCCTGCACCTGTTCCCCTCACTGAGGGAAAATAAGAGCCTGTAATTATGTGTGAAAGGGCCTCTGTCAGAGAGCTGGTGTGATAGTGTCAATCCGCTAATGTTTACTGTGTGATGGACCGCATGACCTTATGACCTAAGGGGCTTGGTGGAAGGATTTGCTGCGTGAAATAGCAGGCAATTACATGGGTTTGGTGAGTGTGTGCATATATGTTATAATGTGTGTGTATTATTGATTGTTTATTGTTGTTTTTTTTATTTTTAAAGGTTACAAAAAAAGCTACATACAGTAGACAGACATGGATACTTCACTGATGTGTTGTTCGATTTTTAATTTTCTGTTTCCTGCTATTGTGAAAGTCAATGATGGCTTTTATGCATAGTTTAAAAAATAAATAAAACAAATCAAACTGTGTGTGTAAACCCCTCAACAACACACAGGCAGATGGGAGCCAAACCTGGTTAGCTTATACGTTTCTAATGTCCATCTTCTCTTCCTGCCTGGTGACTCTATCGCCAACATCCTCTGTGGACCTATAATTAAAAAAATGTTCCAAACAGGGATGTCAAAATAAAAGCCTTATTTGCGTTACTTAGTTCAAAACATTTTAACATGTGAGCAGAATGACCTGCATTAAATATCCAATAATTCCACCGTCCATCCATCTGCAGCTTAAAGTACCATCTCAACACCCAGGATGCATTTCTGCAGTTGACTCTTTAACTCCTGGTCAGTGGTCTAGCTTCCATCAGAACAGCGTCACCTAGTGCAGGGCAGTAAGAAAATCTACGACTTTATGAAGCAAATTTTAATGATAGATTTTGCATATTTTTCTTGAAATATTTCCTTATTAACAATTTGTCAGTTTGTCTATTAGGGATGTTGATTTATCTGAAATCATCACAATTATTACTAGATTTCAAGCTCTAGTATATCAGTGTGAACGTCATCGCCTCAGGGTCAGGTTCTCCACAGCAGCAGGACTTAAGTTGAGAATGACTGCAGTGGGAATAAGTGCAGTTATTAAACACCGCTGTCTGTTTTTATGGTAACATATTCACAGGGCCGATGAAAGCTGTGCTAACAATAGAAGCTCTGACATCTTTGTCCTGGAAAATACAGCCCACCTCAAGTGGAATGAGGAAAGAGCAAACAGAGGGAAAGTAGGGCAGGAGTGGGGCTAGTCCTGCTGCGTTGTGTGGAGGGGGAACGGTATTTGTCATTTATGCATGAGAAGGAGTGGGAAGAAGTTATTTTAGTTTTTGACAGGAAGTGTGTCTGTACTTTATATCTGTGGGTATAGGTGTGTGTGTGTGTGTGTGACCTGACAGTGGGCTGCGTACACAGGAAACCACAGAAAGCTAACATTTATGTCCATAAAATGAGGGGCAGCTTTTGCTCCACCTGCTCGATGCACAGCAAATGACAAAGCACAGTGTGGAGAAAAAATAACCGACAATTTCTACATCCTGCGCTAACTTCATAAACCGTCCGACCCCGTGCGCGCGCGTGCGTGTGTCTGACTGTGTGCTGCAGGTCTGCGTGAATGAGTCACAGCCAGGCTGCAGGTGATTGGTCAGGAAGTGGTCATGTCATTATCTCTAATTGAGGGGTAATTGTAGAGCTGAGTGTACTGTACTGTATGTGTCAGTGTGTAGGTGTGTGTGTGTGTTTCTATGTGTCTCTGTTTGTGTTTAGGTGTATGCAGAGTGGAAAATTACATCTAGAGTTTAGGCTCGCTGTGATTAAAAACAAAACTGAGTAAACACTGGGCTTTGGTGGGCAGCAGTGGGAACAGCAAAATGCATTGTATGCAGCTGGCGTGTGTGTGTGTGTGTGTGTGTTCTAATGTGTTGGTGTATGTGTGCTCCTCTGGTTGGCCTGCAGACATGTCCTGTCAGTCCACTGTGTTCTGTGTGGATACAGCTTTCCTTTTATCTGTCAATCACTGACTGTTAGCTTCCTGCTGTAACTGCCTCAGACATATTTTGTCCAAATTGCGATATCTGCCCAAACCAATCACTGTGGCTTCTTTTGGACACTTGTTACACATGAATGCTATTTTAGAGTTTAAATAAAACAAATAATGAGTGAGGTAATTATGCTAAGATGCTAACTAGCTAACACAAAAGCCAATGTTTTACCCGGAAATTACCTATATTTTCCTCTTTTGGTTTCTGAAATATACTTGTACATGTAAAGGAAAACTAAATATATTTGTTTTTACAAAATTTGCAACTTTAATCAATGCTCTAATGATTGTTCTGTGTTGTCAGTCCCAGGTTCTAGTCTAGTCTCCTCTCTGTTTCCTTACCATCCTGATGTTGAAGACACTCGTCCTGACTACCTTTGTCTTTCTGTCTGTCTGTGTGGGTGCTGACCAGGTTTACCGAGTAAAGTGACCAGTTTTTACTAAATGAGTTAGCATTTTGGCTAAAGCTAGCTGAAACCGTTGACTTGCTTTCTGTGCATTCCTTTCATTTTCATTCCATTTTTCTGTTAGTCCACAATTCATTGATAGAATTCCCTCCCAAAGCTTACACCTTCTCTGAGTACAGATCTAATTAAAATGCCATTANNNTCTGCTGGTCTACGTGCGTGTTAGCGTGAAACCCATCTCTTTACCTCTCCTTTCTCTCTCTTCACCTCCATTAATATGCTCTCTTGACCCACCTACCCTGCCCCCCCAACAACCCCTTTTGTGTGGCAAAAAACGGAGACATAGACACTGAGAGAGTGACGTAGGGCCAGAGATGGAGGCAGACGGGGGGGGTTGGGGGTGGGGAGGGGCAGAAAGAGAGGTACACCAGACCTTGTTGTTGACGACTAATTGTCTCAGTCCTGGGGGTGGGGGGGCATGTCCTTAACATCAGGAGAGTTTCCAAAAGAGCTTCACTCTTCACTCCTCTTAGCTACGCGACCACATCATCACAACCTTTACCACACGCACTTTTTACAACTTTCTTCCCTGTATTTGTCTTCGCTCTGGCCACTAACCCACGTCAGTGTATTTATTATTTTTCGTTTATGGAACCAGTCCTTAAAAAAGGACACTGACAAATAATTTAATAAAATATAACAGCTCATTATGTCTGGTTTCCAGAATAACAAGGTGAAACTCTCTGAAATTATTTTAATATTTTCAGCGTGTAAAGTCATTAGATATCCATCCACAAAGTTTTAATGCAGAACACCCAGTTTCTCTCTCCTCCCCCCTCCCCTCTCTTGTTCCTCCCCCACCTCCCCCACTCCCCTCCATTCACCTAATAAGTGGCAGTGACTGTGTCATTGTATTATGACTGGTGGGGTGACCCCCCCCCAACTGGGGGGGGGGGGGGGGGGGGTTGAGAGTAGGAGTTTTGAGAGAATAGAGTTGGGGGGCTCAGAGGGTAATAAGGTGGGACAGAGCGTGGTCGAGTGTTCCAACCCCACTTGGCTTCACTGTGGCCTTCATAGTGTCAGTGTCTCACTCAGGATTTTTCATGTTCCCTCTGAAGTTCCCTCTACATTTAAGAGGGTCAGTTTTTTCATCAGATTTACTGTTCTTCAGTACAGCTCCATCTAATGTGTAACCATGTGTAACCAGGTGTAACCATGTGTAACCACGGGAGAGTTCACCACCAGTGACTATTTATTAACCAGGCAGTGATGCAGTGGTCAGGGTGATCAATCAATACTATAAGTTTGGGACACATTATGAGGTGGTACCATATACTTTTTTAAAATGATTAAAATAATTTAGTTTTTAATTTAAATAATTTGAAAATGGTATTTGTATATATACTGTATATACATATATTGTATATTGGCACAGTAGTTATTATTTATTAAAATATCAATGCACACAATACAGGGCTAAAATCTTTGGGTTACACTAAATGGCTCCACACAGTAACACCTGTCTCTACATTCCCTCTGAACTGTGTTTATCTCTGAAATCCCTCACCATTGCATTTCACTAGTCAGTCAAAAGTAGTTTGTAATTTTAAAAAAATAGCAGTATAGTAGTAAATAGTAGTATATTAGTAAGTCTGTTTAATTAGTGATGTACAGCAATCTGACTGCAACAATTAGTACATTTTCTTTTCTGAATAAACTGAAAAACATGTTTTTAATAATGTAAAGTGATTGTCAGCACCTGCTCTGTGTGTCCTCTGAGTCTCCGTCTACTCACCTGGTTTTGTGGTTGAAGCAACATGATGAGGACCTTCATCTGTTGGAACATCAGGAGACTCTCTTCCTCATGGGAACAAAAAGACAGAGCAAAGATATATGTCAGGGGACAACTGTGACACTTACATATGTGTGTGTGTGTGTGTATCACTGTCGCTGCTGTCACCCAGACTTCTTTCTGCAGCAGCAGCAGCAGCAGCTGTCACAGTGGTAGGGAAACATTAACATAAGTAAGCCCTCTACTGACAACTCCTCAGCCTCTCTCCACTCAGAATGCACTCTTTTTCACATTTTCTCTTTTAATCTTTTGCAGCATCCCCTCGGTCTCTGTCTCTCTTTGATTCTCCATATTTCTATCAATGTGGGAAAACATCATTGTCACGGAGAGAGGCATGACAACAATGAAGGGGCTGCAAATCACACCAATTGTTAGTGCTGGACCCGGTAGACGGGGAGAGGGCTAATGTAATTGTCCAAGCTCTTGTCACCGTTGATATAGGCTCTCCAGAAGCCAGGGTGATTGAGCTAAAAGCTATCTCTAGGCCAAGTAATTAGACACACCATTGAGGGAGGCATTAGCTCTGGCTGCCGACACCATGTCCCTCACGCTGTGTGAATACGTACACAGATGCACACACCGCGCTAGCACGCCACTCTGGGTGTTATTCAAACCATTAGCCCGGAGCATAATGTTCCAGGTTGGGAACACGTTGATGAGTGAATTTGTATATGTTTATCTGGGAGAGAGAGGGACCGTGGGCGGCCTCTTTTGTTTGTGTGAACCTGCCTGGGATTTTTTTTTTCACGTATCATCACTGCTGGCTCTCCCTGCCGCCTGACACAGGCTGCCTAAGATCGAGTTGAGGTACTGCAACGCACTTGACTCCTCGAAAGCATCCTGTGTTCCACATCTCTCACCGTGACACCGTGCTCCCCCATTAAATCAATTAAGCCAATCCAGCACTCAGCTGAAAACAGACATGGCACTGTGCCTCCATGTACTTCAGTGGCATTCTAACCTGAACCCATGGGAATTGGACTGAAGTGTGTCGGATTGTTTATGTATATTCTCTCCGACATGTAACGCTTCCTGTAGAGGTTTGTTTATATTTGAGACCTTTATTATGAATCACACGTTATAAGGTTTGAATAATTTATCAAAAGTATTTCCATGTTTTTTTATGTTGCATTTACAGGTGTGTTGGTTGTGTTGACCATCTTCCCTGACAAACTGTGGAAATAAGAGTAATGGTATTGATAGTTAGGTGTCCACTTTTATTCATGATTCAGTTTGAGTGACACAACAGAACCAAAGGGTTGAGTACAACCCAGGTCCCTAGGATTCCAGCCCTGATTACATTAGGTCAGGGGTCACAACTATATTTGTCAAAGGGCCAGAATTTCTGGGCAGACACCTTGGGGGTGGACACTCAAATTTAAACAAAATCATGTTTTTGTTTGTTTTTGTTGCTATAACAGGCAGTCACACAAGACAGTTTCTTCTTGATCCTCACAATTTTGGAATGCAGTCACGGCCAGATTAGACAGTTCGAGGCACAGGATTTGGCCCGGGGGCCACCAGTTGATAACTATACTAGGTGTTGGGCGGATACATAGTGTAGCAGTTATCACGCCTGCTTACACAGGCCTTACAGGCAGAATGTTCTGGGTTTTAGCCCCAGAGGAACCACATACTTAGCGCCATCAAGAGGCAGCTTGTTGCAGCAGATCTGCTGTTAACACCCCCGCTCCCCCCGAACCCCCAGTGTGGGATCAATAAAGTTCAAATTACGAGTTATCTAGAAACCCTGTGCACTTCAGTTCCACTAAATGGACATTAACGTTATGTTCAGGTAGCACGACCCAAATACAGCACTCGAGAGAAGAAGTAATCAGGAAAACTCACCGAATCAGGACCAGGCAAAAAAAAAAAAAACAAGGAACCAGAAAGACAACGGTAACAAAAGTACAAGGATTAAATCCACAGGAGCTACAAACACAGAACAATGAGCTGACAGGTCTGTATACCCAGGACACCAGGTGACACCAGTGACACTGATGAGCACAGGTGAGTGTGATGACAATGATTAACACAGAGAAACAGGCAGCAGAGCAGGGAGACAGACAGACGGACAGACAGACGGACGGAGAAGACAGACAGACAGACAGACAGAAGGACAGACAGACAGTCAGACAGACAGAAGGACAGTCAGACAGACAGACGGACAGACAGACAGACAGACAGACAGACAGACAGTCAGACAGACAGACGGACAGACAGACAGACCTCACAACTACTTTCCAACCATATTGCTGAGAATCGGTTGCCAGATCCCAAAACCTCCCCCGTTTGCTCTCTTCAGTCATTACCTAAGACTTTCCCTCTGCCGTCTGAGCTAACAAGACCTGGTTTCTGGTTTTCTTGGCTGTTTTCTCTTTATTTTATCGCACATAAAAGTTTTAGAGCCACTGTAACTCGGTAAAAACAGGATCTAATGTTCATTCATTTTGTTCATAGGAAGGAATTAAAACCAGAATAATTATAGAAATATTAAACACTGTCTTTTCTCACTGACCAAACCTATAATCATTCTACCCTGTAATAAAAAGTAGGAATACTTTAAATGTAATACTTTAAGAAGTAGAAACACCATTTGTAACGTTCCGCTCGGTCTCCTCAGACACAGTTATAAAATCACAGTAGTCGGAAAATCAATAGATAAAAACACAAGGATCAGTTTGTTATAAAAACTAGCTGATATGCATTTTTATTAATTAACTTTTCTCACTAGTTCATCAAATCTATTCTTGCACAATATTTCCACACACTCGCAGCCCTCCGCTGTACACTGACTCGTAGCCAGTGAATGATTTAATATAACGTTCTGTATTTTTAAATGTCATAACTCATCAACAGTTCATCATTTTTTCCAACTGTCAGCACTGCTTTTTTTATCTATGTAAAGATATTCTCATTTTACACTTTATAACAATGGCCATTTTACGTCACTTGTCAAAATACTGATTTCTTACAAAACTAAAAAAATAAAATAAAATACAATGGTGTTGATTCATTGATTCAGTTTGAATACTCCTCTCACCACTTTCCACCATGGAGCCCAAAGAAAACATGTACTTTGAACCCATGTCAGCCTGTTAAGATGTCAGCCACGAGGACTTTCATGTCTCGGGCTGTCTCAGGTGTCAACAGACTATAAAAGTGTAACAATCACTTTGTAGTTCGAACATCCATAAAAGATTGGTGGCACAGGCGATGACTTAGATTTACCCAGCCAGCACTGGGGCGACCTCAGGGAGGTTTCTGTTTAAGCCCAGGCCAAGTGGGAAGTACTAAAACCTCTAAAATCATTCCCTCTCTCTCTCTCCATTTTCCATCACTCACTCCTCTCCCCCATTTCTCCCTTGCCTGCTCCCTTTTTATGGGGACACTGGACTCCCTGACAGTTTGTTTTAAATTTGACCATGCAGATGTTTCTCCGGGTGACTGACTTTTATAGTTCAGAGAAGATTATATCAGCTTTCCCTAAGATTGTGTTACTGTATTTAAAAATGACTGGTGAG